CGCTCCAGCAGAACCGACAACCACAACCGACAGCACTCCTACCCGCCCTACTCTCAATCAACGCGGTAGGAAGCTCAAACCTAAGGTTCGTTTTTCGGACTTCGTTCGCACTTACTATTTTACGTAGAACGTGCCTTAGAAATTTTCTGCTCTTACTAAGCGTTTTTGAAAACCCACAAAAAAGACCAAAACGTTTTGAAACTACCAAAAAAGAGCAAAACCTTTTGAAAACCCAAAAAACAGCTTTGCGCGTTTTTCGCTTTGCACTCTTTTGTGTATTGCTATGCATTTATGCTGCTTTTTCATTTTTCTTTCCATATACACCCCGTCTGTTGGCTGCCCCTCGGTTTCACTTTCCGCTGGATCTCCGCACGTCAACTGGAAGTTCAACAATCTTCCTGCTCAATTGCCTACGTGAACTTTATTAACTGTCCCCACCTACAAACAGTTTTTTTTACCGTTTCGACACCGTAGGGAGGACACTGGTGGGAGCCCGCTAGGGTCCGATTGCATGGTTCTCCCCCAGCAGCTGCATCGGGTTTCACAACCTGGTCTCGCAGAAGGCTGGCCCGCGACGGACAGTCCTCACGTAGATCGAAGGACTGCTTACACAGTCCCTTCTGGGAGAGGGCTATGTAGCAGTCTGGAGATTCCCCGGTTGGCTTGTGTAAAATTCTAACCAAAATTCTATAATTGTACACTTAGGCAACCGGTGTGGCTTTTTGAACTGCTTGCTGAGTTCGAATGCTTTACTTGCTCATCGCCATTTTTGCTTGGCGCTCGCTTCGGTTGCAACGCGCGACTGCTCTGTGTGCTGTGCTTGATCCGTTCCCCTAGCTAGAGCGTCCACGGTGTCGTTCATTTATAGCTAGCTAACAGGGAATCTTTTGCTGAACCAATAAAAGTTTCCCTGCAACTCGATCCGTCTTCTCGAATCGCTCTCTGGGCTCCCGGAATAGGCAACCCTCTAAATGTTTTATGCACAGAAACTCATGAGGCAATCAATTCGGTTGCCATTGTCTTGACTGTGACATGTCGATTGGTTTTACTTATTTTTCCGTGTAATATAATCGTTTGTGCGTTTCTGCTCGTATTGTGGTTGCGACTGAAGAGAACAATCGAAATATTGACATATCGCTACCTGTCTTTTTGCCTTGATGAAATGGCTGAAGAGAACCCACTGTGTTACTCTATTGAAATATGCCCTGCACTGAATTGCTTCTGAACGGAAAGCAAGTTCCTGTGTGTATTGCCGGTGAGAAATTCTCGCTGTGCTTCATGTCGCTCAATATGCAGGTATGTGACAGAAGTTTCCTGCTTTGCGAAAAAGTTGCTCCTCTTCTGTTTTGCCTACAATTAATCCCGGAAAGTTAAGGGGTTTTGCAAGGTGTTAAATGCGAATTAAAGTGAGATAAGTTTTAGTCACGGGAAGCAAACGTTCGAGAGGTGGGGTACATAAATGCTGTTTCAACGGTCTTCACTTCACTCGCAACATCGCCTGATCAGCCAACACATTTGAAGCGGGATGATGGTGTGCTGATTTTACGCGTCTAATTCCACTGGTACTGACGACTTGGTTGAACTTCGTACTAACAGTTGACAGTCCCTATCAAACCAGCTCAAATTCACACGGAGCCTTACGGTTTGGCCGCCGGTGAGACTGACGTCCTCCAGTTGGAAAATTGCACAGGTATTATGATTCCCTGCATTAAAAAACTATTTAATTCCTCTTAAACCTTGGTCCTTGTGGTGTAGGTAATGTTCGTGTTGTGATGAATTTCTACCGTGCATTTTTCTTCAATTTTATTATAGCTAGAAAAAAAGTCAGCATCCCCAACTCCACCGCAGAATTTATGCGTTATGCGTCCAAGGACTCCATTAACTCTTTTAAGTAGCTCTAACGTATCAGGAGTTGCGCTTGTCCAATCCTTGTTGAATAGCTTTCGGTCCGTCTTCCGGTACCACATACGCAGTGTTTATGTCACAGCGCCGTATTGTGCATGGACGATGCATCGGCCAAGAAGACGAAGTGGCTCACCTGGGTACATCCGACGGTCTGGAGTGCATGATGATAAGTGGGTAAGTGCTTTATAACGTTCATCCTAATTATTATCACCGAGACTATTGTATCTCTACATTCAGTGCATTCTGTCCTTGGATGCAGTGCTCCAGAGTGTAGGGGTCGAACGTTGATTGGACACAGTATTCAGCCATACCGAAAGTAACTGGTACGTTTTCCTCATAGCAGTCTACCGCTTGAATTATTTTTTAACGCCTTGTTTACGGCACAGATAAAGGAACTGAACCGCTCAGCACAGTCATTTTACGCACCAGGCTCCGATGGCTCGACCACCTGTTGCGCATGCCAACTTAGCGACTTCCGCGACTTGCGTTGTTTTCTCACCGTGGGTGTGGATGGAAGAAGAGGAGGGGTGGCCAATCGATGACTTGCTCCAAAGGAATAAAGTCCAATACTTCAGAGCTGGCCTCGGTTGGAGTGTCACGACTCCCTGGTTGGGGTCCAAAAGACGATGAACACGTTTGGCTAGATACATTTATTGATATGAGAAGGATCCGACCTTAGTGGCGTTCCTCTTGTGAGTTGATTTGTCCATCCCCATCCCTTTTAGCCTTCCCTCTAACCACGATCTCATTTCGTAGCGTAATATAATGTTACACAATAATTTTTCTTGTTACCTAGTAGCCAGCTGGCAGCTTACCGGGACGGTGCCCATTCGTTGCTGGTAGCTCAGCTGGCATGCAACGGTTGCATTTATTTGTTTCTTTTATATATTGCGTACAGTAGCTGAGGTTCTTTACACCTCTACCTAACGTGTATAATAATAATAATTACAGAAGAGTAGTAGTGGGAGTTGAATGGTATAGATAGAAATTCGTCACATCTAGACTCACTCAGACAGCCGCCACACGCCCGGAAAAGCACTGTACGTGCGTTTCATCCTTTCGGGAATCACCAGCAGTGCGCATTCCATCGGACCATTGGTAGGTCTCGAACCCGCATCTCGACTGTTGCCAGTCCGTGCTTGAGACCACTGAGCTACGGGGAACGGCAACGACCATCGTGAATAAGTAACTAGATGTGATATAGCACCGCTCACTATCCACTGACTTACACGTTACTGCCTTGCAGAGGACAGGGTAGCCTCCTCACCAAGCGGCGAGCTTACCAGACTTAAACCGCCAATTAACTTATGGCATTATAAACAGTTTGGTCGGCTTACTGATAACAAAAGCGTAGTAGGGAAGTTGAATGTCATAGGTAGAAATTGGCGGCTTAAGTTTGGTAAGCTCTCCGCTTGGTGAGGGGGCTACCCTGTCCTCTGCACGGCAGTAACGTTTAAGTCAGTGGATAGTGAGCGGCGCTTTATCACATCTAGTTACTTATTCACGATAGTCGTTGCCGTTCCCCGTAGCTCTGTTGGTCTCAACTGCGGACTGGCAACAGTCGAGATGCGGGTTCGAGGCCTACCAATGGTCCGATGGAATGCGCACTGCTGAATAATAATAATGCTTGATTGATTCTGATCATGGTTTGTGCGATTCTGGCTACAGCCTGATTGACATATATACTCGCGCCAAATGACCCAGCTTCCCGTAACTTCGACACACTGTTCCTGGTGTCGGCACACAAATGCATATTCGTATTAATCACCACATCGAGGGCACACAAAGTGCTTTTTCCACTGACGCCCTTGTTATCCGTATCATCCCTTTCACCTACTGTGCACTCTCAGGTGAAGATAATAGACTAACCGCGTACAGTTGCTATCTCAGATTCTCTAGTTGATGAGAAAATGAACAAACTGTTTCCCAATTGAGTTACTGTCATCCCATAAAAAGAGGTTTTTCCATGGTATTCTAGTCTGACATACAAGCTATTAGGTATTGAGGTAACAATTTTTCTTCGAATTTCGCCGGGTCAACTACATTTATCTACAATTAGAGGTTGCCATATGTATACGATTGATTAACTCAGTTACGGCTTCCCGAGGCTTTTAGAAAAGTACCAGGCTGTAAACAAACTTTGTAGGGCAGCTCGAAGAGCACGGAACGTACCCAACCAACTGGCTGCACTAGCGCAGCTTTAGTCAATCCGCAGGGAGTCGAAGTATCGCTGACCATCGAGAAATGACGCCATCCAGTATGAGATGTCCACCTGATGAATAAATCCTGCTCTTTCTAAGCGATTCAAGCATTATTGTCATGTTTCCAAAGAGGAGTACATTTCTCGATGCTGCGTCATTTGTAAGTTATTTAACAATGTGAAAGTCACCGGTTACTTAAGATCTACAATGCGAAATTCATCTAGCTGACCGGAAATCAACATTAACATAGGCAATTACTTAATAATGTTATGACATAAGTCTGATAAGCGAACTAAGCGAAATAGTATAACCAAGTGGGAGGAACAGAAAGGACCAGATCACTGGCAAAGGACAGGTTCAACGGTTGGGAAAAGCTAAATACCCAAGATAATATGAATGTACATTGAAACACAGCATTTATCCCGAATGTTATAAACTCAAATTGTCATTGCGTGTAGCTTAACATTTATACAAATATTTACTGAAAGAATGTATTACGCTTCTTGTTGTACGTGATTTAAACTATGAGCACAATTCGTTTCTTGTCATGCATTTAATAAAATGTAAGTAAACGCAGTTGTGAAAAATCGTTATTAGCACTTGTTGAATACTTTAAACTTGTAGCCAATTTGCCATGCTTTGCAGCAGCCTAAATAATATTCTGTATTTTATATCGAGGTTTTGTGAGATATAACAAACCTGAGTAAGCCCAAATGTTTTTGAATCTACATTGTAAACCTGCAGGTAAATAACAAAAATCTTAACTTTACACCAGGTACTTGGTTTTGATGTCAGCATATTTACTTTAATGTACTAGTTTTCAGGTACAGTGGTAATCCTAGGCTATGTCCTAAATTGTCGGTTGTAACGTTCTCGGCGCCACGACCCTGGTAGCACAAACGTAACACTAAACGTCGCAACCTGGACATAAACTGGACAGTTGTCCACTTCAGGTAATAATGCATTACTTGCAGCTAAAAGCATTTATTTTGACATTTATTAATAAATTATTAGTTGATATGCATTATATTTGCTATTATTTGACCATAACCCCAGCGGTTTAAATGCATCTGAAGGTCTTTTTATTTGGCCGTTTTCTGTTTCGTAACCTTGGTCGCTGATACTGCTTCGTTCTGCGCTATTGTCTAGCTTCCTTGAAACTGCGTTTCCGCAGGTGTACCTATCAGGTATTTCGGTTAAACATTGTTTGATACGTAGGTGTTCCTTTTCAGCATGTCACGTCGATGAAGTTATCAATTAACTGCACAGTTTCCGTCTCGTAGCACCATTTACCGTGCAGCGAAAAGAATGACATCAGGATTCAGCTACGAAGAGGTGCTTCAGTTGTCAGAAGCTAAACGACAGAAGAGTAAGAGCATCTGTAACATATCTTAAATATGGTTGCTTACACAGTTCAGCCACCTGCACACGTTATCAACCGCAGTGAAGATGACAGGGACCCCGATGAATTGGTACATAACTTGAGAAATTGATCGCAAAATCTCAAGTACCTGCGTCTTTTGTTCGTCCACTGTCGTGCCTTGTGCAGCCGTGGATGCCATTTTTGCCAAAGGATTACCGGGGACTCTAGACAGCTTCTCAGCATTTCCCTTCGAGTCTCACTTGTTTTCCATCAAGCGCATGATTCACAATTCCCCGCGTCCGGTTGCTCAAATCATGCGGCGTACGTCGGAAAAGGAACAGCTTCCTCCTACTTCCAGCAACGCAAGCACCTTTGGGAATGTACAGATGTGCACATATAAGGGTCAGAAGGCGTTTTGTTTGCACGGCATTTTGTTTTCCACTGTGAAGTCGGATCACGTGGTCATCATCGATGCCAAACCCAGAGTACTGACAGATGTGTCTGTGAATGTGTCCGGGAACATTGTCGTGCAATGCCGTGATTTTTTGAATCTCCGTAGTCTGTTCACGCATAGCATGGATTCCTCAACGGCGTACATCTTCCGTGCATCGCAGTTGTCAACTGGGGTATGTACCTTCTCTGTCTGTCATATGCTATTTAAGTGCACTGCTTTACCCTTGAACGATTTTCTTGTAATTTACCCTATGCCACACAGTTATACACTTTTACTACTAACCTTTTCTTTTTCAGCAATGATGGCTTTTCAAGGATACAGCGTTGTCAAAATCCTTGACTCCGAGGATTTAATAACTATTGTCAGTAACACTTGGCTTAGAGAAGAAGGTTCGTACGCTCAAATGCCTTCAGTGCGGGGTACGCACTACTATGCAGCTGTGAAAAATCACACTGCGCCGGATGTCGATGTGGTCAGCACTGCCGTGTCCATAATCGTTAGCACTAGTAAGTATTTCTCTTATATTAACCCACCTCGTTAGTTAGCTTCCAGCATGCCCGAGAAATGGAACGGCAATCTGAGCGCGGGATGCTGCCATCGACAGACGATACAATTCCCATGGGCCTTCCAGCTAAGCGTGCAATGTGAGTATTGTGTTTTTTATTTCCCCTTAGACGCCGGCCCGTCCGTTCTAGCTCCGATGACGAGGATGCCGCGCGTCCAAGCAAACCCAAAAGACCTTCCGCAGCAACCTACGCACGTGCGCCCTCCTCTCTGTTCAGTGGCATTAGTCCAGGACCATCAACAAGCAACCGTAATTATCGATTTCATACTGCCCCTATTAAACAGTAATCGCGCCACCGGTTACTGCTGACGTCCCACAAAGCACTCTGGATGTGCTGCACGAACTGCAGGCCATAAAATATAAGACGCCACAGATGGATTGCATTGCACTCAGCCTTATTTTTAGATGAGTTGTGTCTCATTCGATCAGAATTGGTCGGCCATCGTCGCATGTCCGAAGCGATGTTGCAAATGCTACAACGACAATCCCAAAGTGTTGCGCCTGGACTATCTCTGCCATTCATCTCTCTCAGTGAGCTAAAAAGATATGATGAACGGCTGAAGGACCCCGATTTCAAAATCAGAGTCGTAAGTTCGTCTTATTATTCAACTACTTTAGGTCAACCATTTGTGTGCTGTGCACGGTGATAACATACAACTCATCGTCCGGGGTACCATGGAGCGGCTAATGACAAGATCAGTTGCCGCGGAGATAAATTACTCCGGCGCTAGAGGTTCGTTTGCATTCAGGCGAACAAAAATGAACGGCCTTGTACAAGGTAGGTTGAAATGCAGTAATCCATAAAAACTACCAAGGCCTCATTCGACAACGCATGGGTGATGCAGCCTCGGATGCTGACATTACACGGCACATCAAAACGTGGCTGCAGTCTGCACGGCACAAAAGACCGCCGGTTGAGCAAACTAAAGTATGCAGTGCAAATGAGGTGAGTCCCCTGCTTCTTTAGGCACATCTTTAGCCTCCTACGTTGACACTCGCGGAAGCGGATTAAGAATATTGACTATGCCGCTTTCTATTACTAACGTTCTTTGTACTGCACCCCTTCATGTATATATAGCGTTCCTATACCTCGGTTTTAATTTTCTTTCGCCTTGTGATGTCAGGTGCGCGGTAAGAGCGGTTTCCTTTTCTGACCAACAGCTTTGAGTCGCCGCCTAGGTGGGTTCCAAAGTCCAGAAACTACCGCAACTGGTACCGGGTGAACACTAGGTCCGAGTCGTCCATATATTGGTTAGGCGCATAGTGCGTTCAAGTGTGTTGTCAGTATTCGGATACCCATGGGAGGCAATGACGGGATCTGGACCAGCCGGATTGTCACGCATAGTGGTGAATTTCTATTGGTCAACGCTAACATCATCTTCATTGGTCCAACGTAAACTGGACGGGAACCGTTTTTAGCCGTCTCACGGTAATACTTCCTGTCCAGTTTAGCCTAATGCTCTCATAGGAACGTTTAGCATGCTGAACTGGACAGGACCTGGACATGTGCTACCAGGGGAGTCACGATTAAATACACGATAAAAGGTGAAGAAATTATGGGTTTTATTTCTAGACATTCCCGTTCAGCTGACTTCACATAATTATCTAGCGAAGTCAATGTGGAGTATAACGAACAATTCATAAGTGAAAGTAATGCAGATTTAAAGATTAGACTGTGAAACATAAAGGAATAAAACACCCAAAATATCCCGATTTTAGTGTTGTTTACGAGATATTTGTGCACAGCATCACTGAATCAGCGGTTCATCTACTTTTGATCAACATATGTTCAAAAGTATTGGGTTACGCACAATAAACTCGAGCGCTGTTAAGGAATGTTTCAAATTGCGATCAAGATATATAATTAATCGTAATAAAAGCACACAGCCTATTTTCTTTGCAAATGCTGTATTAGTAGAGCAATTTGCCAAGTAAGCATTAAGTAAATGTTAGAGCCCTCAGTCGTTTAAGTGAACTAAAACAAAAAGATAATAAGAACTTCACGCCCGCTGTCAGAGCAAGTCTCCTAGTTGTAGTGTAAATTCGAGGTACAGATAAATTATTTGGCGGAATTTCGGTAGCATTGAAATATTCATTAAAAGAGAACTATGAAATAGACTTGTAACTTTTGTCGATTTCATGTGATTGAAAATATTGATAAAATAACTGCAACTGATAAAGTATCTCAGATTTATCATGTTTTTGTTAAAACAAATCACGTTGCTAATTTTGCCCTACCAGAAATAGTGAAAATTTTATACTATTCGATTAATAACTTAATTTGTATTGGTTCAGCATCAAGCAATTTGATATATTCCGAAGACTTAACCGTTAACAAATAAATCGGATTACATCTCTGGTTATGCGAAAGTAAATGCTGGGTTATTTAACGCATTAATGCAATGTGGAGTAAACCGCAGGCCATAACAGCTATTCTTACTTGGTATCTGCAAATGTACAGTTTATACTTTTTCGAATGGTAAGATAGTGTAGTTTCCATAGCCTAAACTAAATTGCTCAATAATAAAAAGGATTTACAGATATACGTATTGGGTGTTGCCCGCCTTAAAACGCTGTATAACCGACCGGTTTCTAACTTGTACTCATGAGGTATAAAGAGCAGGCGCGGAAGTTAAGACAATAGGGATGTTTGCCCCTAAGCCTCTAACACAATCCACTACGCCAAGAAGGGCAGCGCTACACAGAGGGTCGCTCTGAAGTACTCGCTGTCTGATTGGATTGCGACGCGCAACCTGAACGGGGAACCCGTTTGCTATCGAAGTGGATCTTGGTCAGTTCAACAACTGTGAATGCAAGGAATGAAGCTGTTAAATATCAGGCATTGCCACCCACAAATACTGCACCACACGACAGGTATCATGTTATTTGATCTCATCAGAGAAGATGGCCGATATCGACCTTTCTTCATTAATGTTAACGGAATCCGCACAGAAGATACTGATCACAAAGGGCAACGCTCGATATTTGCTTAGCTTATGAGAATGCTTTTATATCTTTTCACTTGTGACTCAGATGTTTCTGCCATGCTGCGCAAAGCTCAGCATATGCTCCTTCGAAAAAGAATAACCAGTTGCCGATGAAAACTAAGACACTTGTTGTTTGGACAGAGTGCTTTTTATTTACTGTGTCTTTTCAATTGCCATGCAGTAAAATTATACCAAACAATATGATCTGTAACCTTTGAGAAGTAACCTAGAACATGACGATCATTTACTATTGCACTTGCTTGCAAGTGTATTGGTTTAACTTTGAAATATATCAGCACTTGCGTTCCATTTCGTGTGCGCACATTTAAAGTGTTGTCACAAATTCGGTACTTTAATTTTCTGAACTAAGCAAACACGTGGTTTCAGCATAAGAAAAGGAGGTTTATAATATTTTTGACTTTGAAGTACCGAACAAAGTGTTGGTAACATTTAACTGAGAAAATTCATCGATATTAGGTTGGTTTTCCTAAACTTTACGCCATTTGTTACGGCAGTTATTGCAAAACCTGAAGCAAAAATGTTTGTTTATTACAACATTGCTATACTATGAACAGCCCTAGGGTGTTTGTTCGTTTGCATCTTGTATATAAATAAACACAATGGATTGGTTGTGCCTGTGCGGAAATTTGTTGTTACTAAACTTAAGCCGGCATAATTTGGTATGAAAATAACTTCATCCATTACTCCATGGTTCATAATAAATTTTATACTGACCGCAAACCTAACCGTAAATTACAAGCGGTGGGTTTCCTCGTGCCGCAATCCAGTGACCAATATAAAGCGCAATTATCTTAACACATTGTCCTAGGAGTGTTGTTGTAGTTATTTATAAAACAGTTGTACTGTAAGTCCGTTGATAACAATTTGATAGGAATATCAAATGGGTGAAAAAAGTTACATTTGTATAAATGGTTCACAGTATCAGATTTTTCTTTAGGGACACCAGATGAAGAATTGCATACACCCAATTTATTTCGTAGGCAAATTGGCCAGTTTATCAATGCTGTCATGTAGCTAATATCAATTAGTCATTGAGCAAAAATGAAGTCTTAAGAAACTTATATATAATATGTATGTTTAACCTGAAAATTATTTTACCATTTATATATTGCTAAAGGTTTACTTTTATGCAGGCACCGATATTATATATATTAATTTAAACAATTTAGTGTAATGTTTACAACAAAAGGAGTGTTCTGCTTTCACCGTTTACGTTGCGATAAGGAAGATAAAAATAGATGCAGACACTTTACAAGTAATAGGGTGACATCAAACACCTTGCAATTATTCTGGCTGATGATGGCTAAAGCATAGCATAGATTTAAACTGGGTGGCATTGACAACTATATCTTGAGATTTGCGCACTGAATTAATCAGGGATAGGTATATAGCACTTGAGCGATTGTGAATAATTATAACAAACATTTTGAAAGATCCGCATTATTTGGACATGCAACGAATACAAAGGTTTAATGGTTGAGGTAAATTTGTTCCGTTCAAATAGCCTTTTTTCAGTTGTGAAATAATAGAAAACGGAATTCCCTTTCTGGTTTACCATCGTTCTCAGTGTAACAGTTAATTCATTAGTCAACTATTTATTCGAAGTCACAACAAATTAAGTAGGTGTTATCAACGTGAAGATAAATAGTGTGTAAAATAAATATTCCAATTCCAGAGCTATTAAAACATTCTGCATCTTAGAGAAGACATTTGGGAATTCGAAAGAAACCGGGGAAAATTCCATCATCAAAAATGAGATTTGCATTTCTGATGACTTCCAAACGGTTGAAACAGCTGTTCAGTGTGTTTAGAGTCTGGTGGCTGTCTAATTCTAAATGTAATGAATGTCCGTTTATAAAATGTGACGTACCATACTACTGTTTTGTAATCAGTACACTGACGAAATTGCCTATAACTACACAGGCCAATTGGCAGATTACGTTTGGTAATTTCGTCGCTGTGATAGAGGATCATCCTGTCCTCTGCAAGAGAGTAAAGTATAAGTCCTTGGGTAGTAGGCAGCCATATATAACGTCGGTGAGTACCATACCCCACAAGCCACTGGTCTCAAACAGAGACTGGCAGCAGTCGAGGCACATGGGGTCAGATAGAATACGCAATGTTGGCGAGTACCATAGGAAAGAAACAGCCTTGAGT